AATGGCAAGACAAACTGTTAGAGTATATTGAACTGGCTGGATGAACAGAAGCAATTAGAGATCACACTAGACAAGAGTTTCAAAAAGCATGGGGGAAATGCGGAGAATACTTCACAAAACAGTGCCCTAAAATACATACCTGGACTTGTTTCGATTAATGTCTGCAGGGGACTTTGTGGATATTTAAGTTATAATGAGAAAAATCTTAATAATTATTCATAAAGGAAAAAGTTTATAAGAAGTAAATAAGGAGGCTGGATACAGAATAAAGGAAGTCTTTTATTTGGTTGTTTGTATTGTTGTATGTTATGCTCACTGTATGTTGTGTTCACGTTTAATGAGAGTGGATTTGTGTATTGGGGGGTGAGGGGTTTGTGTTATGCTGTAAATAAAATTCCAATAAAATTTGTAAAAAAATAGAAAAGCACTCAATAGATTGAAACCCTGGACAAAATTGGAGGAGACAAAATCTTGCTAAGGCAGGCAGCAACAAGGGGCTGGTTTAATCCCCTGTCCAATGGATTGCCCAACTTTACTCTCTCCCATGTATGTGAATGGTTTCCACTCTTTCCTATCACTGTGCTACAATGCAGCATTTTAGTAGGGGCAAAGATGTGCTTCCTGGCACTGGGCGAACCAGACCACCTGCTGACAACCTGGGGCCATGCTATTGCTTCTGCATTTCTCCATTTCCAGCAGGAAGCTCCAGGCTTGCAGGAAAGAGAGTAAGACCTTTCTGATTCTTCTGTCTATGAAATTGGTGACCTGATTTGGAATGTAGAAGGAGGGATGAAGGACACAATGCAGAGTGTGCCCATGTTTGGCTGTGTCATGACACTACAATATGTTATGCATCTAGAGTAGGACTGGGGAACATATGGTCCTCCAGATGTTGCTAAACTGCAGCTCCCATCATCCCTGACCCTTGGCCAGGCTGGGGCTGGTAGGATCTGGAGTCCAATGACTTATGGAGGGCCACATGTTGTGCTAGAGAACTTCAAGCTGGCAAAGTAATCAGATATGCCCTCCAAATACAGAGAGCAAGTGCGATTTTCACATAGCTGTTTACCTAGATCACTCGTGCTGCTGATGTTAGCTTTCAACCTTGGGAGGCCAAAGTGATGCTTTGTACAAATAAACAAGGGTTTCGTCCAGGCTTTCCAAACTTGGCACACAACATCGTCCATCTGATCCTTTCAATTTAGCCAGCCTAGTCGCTACTGAAATCAAAGTATGTCGGCTAGTGCGTTTACTGCTTATGGCTAAAGATTTCATGGAGAAAAGATACAGCTTGGCAAATTCATGTTGATCTCTTATAGGCGTGATACAGCCAAGCATACACATTTTAAGTCCAACTGAATTAAAATAAAAATCGTCATTATTGATGTACTGAAATTTTTGGCACCTGAAGTGAGCCACAAAATGGCGGCACCACCTTCCCCCACACCCTGCCGGGGAAGAAGAGACGAGGGATGATCTACATCAGGAATAAGCAAGGAATACATCAGGAACAAGGGTAGGAGGGGCCAACAGTGTCTTCTATTCACCAAGAGGCCACTGTGGAGGTGGCATCTGGAGAGGACTGCAGAGGAAGAGGCAGATCCGGCCTCCAACGAATGTGACACCTGTTGCTGCCACTGCATCAGCAAGCAATGCATTCCTTGAGACACGATCTGCAGCCCTTGTGCATCTTGCCACCTAAGGCGGTGGCTTCACCTTGCCTCATGGATGGGCTGGCCCTGATTCCTGGTCAACTAAAGGGCCTGCACCAGGGATGGGGAAATCTGTGGCTCATGAAATGTTGCTGGATTCCAACTTCTCAAAAGATTCCATCAACGGTGTCTCCGAAAAATCTTACACATTACTTGGGAAGACAGGCGAACTAATACCAGTGTACTGGAAGAAGCAAAGATCACCAGTGTCAAAGCAATGATTCTTCAGCATCAACTTCGTTGGACTGGTCATGTTGTGCGGATGCCTGATTACCGTCTTCCAAAGCAACTACTGTATTCCGAACTTAATAATGGAAAGCGTAATGCTGGTGGTCAACAAAAGAGGTTTAAAGACTGTCTCATGGCAAATCTAAAAATATATAGTATAAACACCAACAATTGGGAAACACTGGCCTGCAAGTGAACCAGTTGGAGAACAGCCTTTACCAAAGGTGTCATGGGCTTTGAAGACACTTGAACTCAGGACACAAGGGACTAACATGCTAAGAGGAAGGCACGCTTGGCAAATCCACACCGTGATCAACTCCCGCCCAGAAACCAATGTCCCCACTGTGGAAGGACGTGTGGATCCATAATTGGCCTCCACAGTCACTTACGGACTCATAGTTAAAACCGTGTTTATGGAAGACAATCTTACTCGGCTACGAGTGATCGCCAAAGAAGAGAAGAAGAAGTTGCTGGACTCCATTATTCCCAACCGTTGGCCATGCTGGCTGGGGCTGTTGGAAACCAACAACATTTAGAGGTCCCTACCATGGACCTATATGCATGTAGATGCCCCTTTCAGATGTCCAGTGAGATGCTTAGAAATCAGGAGGCAGAGCCAATAGGCACAATCCCAGTCCATGCATTCCAATCTACACCTGAGGACAAGGCCTGATAATGCCTAGGACAATCTTCTCCCAACCTGGCATGGTCCTGGAAACTGAGCCAAGCTGGGAAGAAAAGTGTATGCAGTGACTAAACACAGCAAAGTAATGAAGGAGGAGGGTTCAAGTTGTCTCACTCATGAGCACTTTTGATTATGCACAAATTATATGCTCCCCATCTCTATGTCACTAGCGCAGGCATAAGAATAAACTAAATGGCGAAACTTACCCGGAGAATAAGAAATCATGATAACAATTTTTATTTTTTTAGAAAGGAATGGAAATATTTTACTGAGTATTTACAAACAGATTAAGACTTTGGCAGGATTAATGTATAAACCTGTAGTTTCAAAAAAAAATATGGGAATAGATGTATAAAAGAATATGTTGAGATAATTTGGCGTATGCAGGAAGACAAAGAGAAACGTAAAGAACCACAGAAAGAGGGGGAAGGGAGTCAAAGTCTGACATGCTAAAATTGTGATTGAATAATTATTGTAATATATATAAATGACTGCTCCCATCAATGTGTATATTGGTCTACACAGATTACCTGTGGAAGCAACTCTATGTGAACAGCCCACAGGTTCATATACCCCGCTCTTCTGTCCTCCAGTGGGACTGCAAAGGGGAGACTGGAAGCATCCATTTCCATTTAAGCAAACAGCAGTTTGTAATCTTATCTGAACCAGGTCTAGGAGATACTGGTTAATTTAAACAATGGTTTTCCAAATAGGTCAAGATCAAGCCATGGTGTCTGATCCTGGCTTGTTTGGATAAACTAAAGTTAAAACTAACCACAGTTCTCGTTCAGATGAAACAACATATTGCATTCATTTAAAATGAATGCTGATACTTCTCACCTCCTCATAGCCACACTGGAGAAGAGGGGAAGGAGGCACAGGCCTGTGAATGTAACACTAAACTATGGCTTAGCTTTGTGGCCAGCTCCTCCATTTAAGACAATGCTTGGATGTGTATCTTCTCCCAACCCAACCCAAGGAATATTCAGAATACAAAAAAACTTCTGAATGTTAATTGCCCAGGGAATCTCTTCAAAGCTAGCTAGCCATCTTTGTCAGCCACCAAGAGAGTATTCTACACAATGATAAACTACCCAGGGTGATTTGGAGAAATTAAACATTTTGAGCTTTCACTCTTCCGAAAGATTTGTAAATGAAATATCCATGATAAATGACTCTGGTTGATATGTCAGGCCCAAAGTTTCTTCTTTTGAAAAATGATGTATTTAAATCCTATTGTAAACTGGGGAGGGGAGGGGCCCACAGATCTGTGAGTTAGGGCTAGTGATATCGGGGAGTAGTGTAACCTCCAAAGCCTTGTGGGTTTTCTTTCTAAGGAAAGCATTGGTTTAAATTTAAATCTTTGGAGAAGCAGAAAGCCTCCTTAACATCTTGTGCACTTGCTGGAGCAACCAAGACTCATCAGTTATCCTGGCACTCAAGGAGATGAACTCACCATTCTTGCTTTTAAAAATAAACTAAAATTGGGGGGCTGGGACATGAGCTCCCCCAAAATAGGAAGTTGCACAGGAAGTAATCTCATAGAAAAGGTGCTCACTAGGGCAGGTGTTCTGTGTTACCATCCCTGGTTCTGTGCTCCAGTCTCTGTGCCTCTCATGCTGTTCCCACATTTGAACTACATTGGAAAGAAGAGATCTCTCCCATGGGAAGACATTACAAGGCCCCCTCCAGATTGGTGGGTGTTTGTGGGTGAATTTCACAGCTTGTTGTTGACCCAACCATAGTGCTTCAGTTGCGGGTTTATACTGGACTGCCCACACATCATTTGTTCGTTGTTCTGCATTCCTTCCACATTTTCATATTCCAAAACCAATTCAGAGAAAAATGCTTAGATTTCAATTACAGTGGTACCTCTAGTTACAAACTTAATTCGTTCCAGAGGTCTGTTCTTAGCCTGAAACTGTTCTCAACTAGAGGCATGCTTTCGCTAATGGGGCCTCTTGCTGCCGATGCGCCGCCAGCACATGATTTCCATTCTCATCCTGGGGCAAAGTTCCCAACTAGAGGTAACTCTACCAGGTTAGCAGAGTTTGTAACCTGAAGCGTTTGTAACCTGAGACGTTTGTAACTCAAGGTACCGCTGTACATTGTCCAGTTCTTCTCTTTGGTAAATCATGGTCTAGCTTCCTCCTTTGCATCTAGAGCAGCGGTTCTCAACCTGTGGTTTCCCAGATGTTGTTGGACTACAACTCCCATCATCCCTGAGCTCTGGCCTTGCTAGCTAGGGGTGATGGGAGTTGTAGTTCAACAACATCTGGGGACCCACAGGTTGAGAAAGGCTGATCTAGAGGAACTTGCCTCGTGTCTTGATGTCATGATGTTCCATATTGTATTCTACACTGTCTACCACCCATTTTCAATTGCTCAGTTGGTAAAGCGTGAGACTCTTAATCTCAGGGTTGTGGGTTGGAGCCCCTCATTGGTCAAAAGATTCCTGCATTGCACGGGGTTGGACTCGATGACCCTTGTGGACCTTTCCAACTCTACAATTCTATGATTCTATAGAACATTGTGGTGTCAGGACATTTAGCCATGGAGCCAAGTGTTTGCCGTCCACTGACCATCAAATCTTGTTTAGTCCTAAGGTTAACTCAGATCACCTCAATTAGTGAAGCAAAGATTGGCTTTTGATTATTGAAAGTCATCTTGGATTTTTTAGCTTTATGAAGATGCATCCTCACTCTGCTCAAGGCTATACAGAAAAAGAATAGTAAAGAGAAACCTCAAGGATGGCCAGTCTTCCAGGAATTCTATCTGGGGAACTCCCAAATGGAAACAAAAATTTTGAATGCATCCACAGGCCAAGCCCTCTGCAGAGGAAGCCCAGCTGTTCACACGCTGCAATACACCCTACCACCATGAGCCGAAATGATGCAAATTTGCTTACTCCCTCTCCCACCCAAGCCATTGAGAAAGCTAAAAATAAAACTATAGCCATGAATAACTGTTCTGTCATTTTCTTTTTGCTTGCCATTACGTGGGGTGATTGTTAATTCTTTCTAAAGCCAAAACCAGATATTTGTGGTTTTGGAGAACTCAACATCAAATGTGCAAGCAGCACGTTTCAAATGTCTATTTTCACTTCAGCGCTCTGAAGCCACTCCACAGATTTGTGCTGTAAAATGAAACACTAGGCACTCTATGACAATGAGAAAGAGAGACAGAGAGAGAGAGAGAGAGAGAGAGAGAGAGAGAGAGAGAGACATAGAGAGAGAGAGGACTGACACAGAGTTCAGAGGTTAAGGGAGAAATTGCAAGAGTGAGGAAGCGTGAGGATTAGGAGGGGAAGGCAGGTCTCTGGGGAGACATTTCAAAGGCGCTCAGCCGTGCATTTCATACAATCTGACATGAGCAAAGTCATGACAGCTCACAACCTGTAAACATGCTTGTGTGTGTGTTTTTTTAAGAGGTGGCATCACTGCAGCAAGGACAGTAAGCCAACCCCCTAACTTAGCATTTCCTTACAGTGCATGGTGGGAACGAAATCTCATGCAAAGTCAGTAATTTATCCAAACAGAATCCCAACAATTCCCTCCCCCCCTTCCCCACAAAAAAACCCCTGAATGTGAGGAGCGAGGGGCAACAGTATTAGATTTCAGAAGAGTAGGTAGGCCCCTTCAGAAGTAACACCCATGTGCTCCATAAATACCTGAGCAGTGAGTGGGGCCAGGCCACTTTGCCCTACGCCTGAAGTTATGCATGCTGGCTTGCCCTGCCTGCTTGTATCCACACAGACATGCAGAACACCTGAAGGTAAAGGACCCCAACAGTTAAGTCCAGTCACAGATGATTCTGGGGTTGTGGCGCACATCTCACTTTACAGGCCAAGGGAGCCGGCATTTGTCTGCAAACAGTTTTTCCGGGTCATGTGGCAGGGCATGACTAAGCCGCTTCTGGCACAATGGAACACTGAAACCAGAGCAGCGCACGGAAACGCTGTTTACCTTCCCCCGGAGTGGTACCTATTTATCTACTTGCACTTTTTGGCGTGCTTTCAAACTGCTAGGTTGGCAGGAGCAGGGACCAAGCAATGGGAGCTCACCCATTCACGGGGATTCAAACCGCCGACCTTCTGATTGGCAAGCCTAAGAGGCTCAGTGGTTTAGACCACAGTGCCACCCGCATCCCTAGGATGCAGCAAACTAGAGCAAGACTAGTTGACATGGCTTCCTCACATGTTTCAATCCAATGCAGGCTTCATTCACACCATACCTTTAAAGCACTACGACACCAGTGCAAGTAAGGAAGGTTTTCCTCTTGAATCGGAAGTGATCAGTCTGAATCTGAAGCGAAGCGGATTCCTTCGTTGCAGGGAGTTGGAAGGGGGGGTCCCTTCCAAAGGTACAATTCCATGATCCTAAATGATGCAGGGTTGGGGTCCCAGAAAAAGAGCAGGGGAATGTGACACTCTTAGCTTCCTCCTCTCTATGCAATGTCAAGACCTTTGGAAACTTTAAGCGCTGAAAAAATGATGGTGCCCCCCATATGTAATTCAGAATCAATACTAAACTGTATTTCAAAACACACACAAAACAACCATTTATTGCAACACATGACAAGATCTGATTTCATTGCATTATTTCAATCTGTGTTGGTAGGATGCCCCTCTTCTCTGGGTTTGGGTAGGGATTACTAATAAATAATAATAATAATAATAATAATAATAATAATAATAATGGAGAAATGGAAGAAGAATTGTAGTAGAGTACAGTCATACCTCAGGTTGAATATGCTTCAGGTTGAGCCTTTTCAGGTTACAATCCTCAGCGACCCAGAAGTAACGGAAAGCATTACTTCCAGGTTTCACCACTCGTGCATGCGCAGATGCTCAAAATGACGTCACGCACATGCGCGGAAGCAGCAAATCGCGACACATGCACGCGCAGATGTGGGTTGCATTCACTTCTGGATGCGAAGCGGGCTCCGGAACGGATCCTGTTCGCATCCAGAGGTACCATTGTATAAGGAAATCTCACAAAGCCCTAGCAGTTGCTTAGCACAGCATCTAACAGACATTCAGCCGCTCATCATCCATGAGTGTGGCAGGGGTGGAGGAAGGGGGTGCGGTGGGGGCGGACCGCCCTGGGTGTCTTCACTGAGGGGGGGTGACATTTGGTGCACCGCCCCCCTACGACTCCCAAGCCTACCCCAAACCGTTGGGGGAAGGGGGGAGCTGCGCCCCTTTGCCAGTGGGCTTCCCTTCCTTCCCCCTTTGTTCGGACAGCTAGGGGGCGCTTGGGAGTCGCGGGCGGGCAGCGCACTGAATGTTCACCATCGGCGGCTCACTCCGCACCTGTGGTCGGCTTGCTCTGTCCCTGGCTGCAGGGCGCAAGCGCCGCTCCGTGCACCCGAGCGGCTATCCCGTGCCTGGGAGGGCACCCTCTGTGCCCCACGGCACCCCTCAAGAGCGTGCCCACCCTGGGCAGTGTGGGCATATGCTTCGCCGCTAGGTGTGGTCTCATGTATCGTCAGGTTAGGGCTCTGAAACAGTTGGAAAGACTTCCCTGTGCTGGAAGAGTGAGCCTATTGTGCAATCTAAGATGCTGACTTAGCGGAGAACATTCTTGTTAATGGCTTGATAGATATCGGAGGGCTCCCTTGTAACAGAGGCAGAGATGTGTGCGCGCACACACACACATACAGAGGGCTCTTCTGCTAATAAAGCATAAGTTAAAAATGGCAGCAGGTATCCGAGATCATATCTACGTGATGAACGCCTCTGAGGTCTGAACATTCTCAATTTGGAGGGGGCTTTGTCTTTTAATGGAGCCCGGATAAAGAATAGGGTTTTTTTCTTTCTTTAAGCATTATCGTGCAAATGAACTTGGTAATGGGAGCTGATAAGAATATCTCCCTGCTCAGCAGTGTTAGGCCGGCCTAATTAGACGATTAGATGATAGAAAGGCATTCAAGGCAGAGCGAAACGCTCTAGGTGAGATGGATTTCCCTCTTGTTAAAAGGACTGCGTGCTCAGGTGCAATATGAAGTAGCTGGAGCTGCGATGACCGTGAAGAGAAGGTCCCCTGAAATTTCTAGGATGGAGGTGTGAGGAAGGATAGCCAAGTGGGAATTGATTGGTGCTGGAGTCATTGATCTGGGGTGCTTTGCAGAGAACTGTCCACTTCTTACAGGCACTGCCCAATCCTTTCTGAGACTGTGGTCAGAGTCTGTCCACACTGACTCGGTTGGAGAAGGGGCAGTCCCATCTGTAGTCCGTGGAGAACTTTTTTGGATCCTGAAACTCCCATTATGGCAGGTTGAAATCACTGCTGCTGAAGCCTGGGACTAGAAAGTGCTAGTTTTTCTTGGCTCTGTGAATGTCCATAGGGGAAGAGATGGGATGTGGTGGCAGGATCTGACCCTAACTCCTACGTGTGTCCATGCAAACCTTATGCACCACCAGTATCCTGAAAAATACATGTTTGCATGTGCATAGCGCTGGTCCAATACTTTGGCCACCTCATGAGAAGAGAAGACTCCCTGGGAAAGACCCTGATGTTGGGAAAGATGGAGGGCACAAGGAGAAGGGAACGACAGAGGACAAGATGGTTGGACAGTGTTCTCAAAGCTATGAAGATGGGTTTGACTAAACTGTGGGAGGCAGTGGAAGACAGGAGTGCCTGGCGTGCTCTGGTCCATGGGGTCAGATCCTGAAGCTGAAGCTCCAATACTTTGGCCACCTCATGAGAAGAGAAGACTCCCTGGAAAAGACCCTGATGTTGGGAAAGATGGAGGGCACAAGGAGAAGGGGACGAGAGAGGACGAGATGGTTGGATAGTGTCTTCGAAGCTACAAACATGAGTCTGACCAAACTGCGGGAGGCAGTGGAAGACAGGGGTGCCTGGCGTGCTCTGGTCCATGGGGTCACGAAGAGTCGGACACGACTAAACGACTAAACAACAACAACAAAGCGCTGGTCCACACCACTTACTGGAACAGAGGAAATTACATGCTAGGTTATACAATTTGTCCATTTAGAGAACTAGGGGTGGGGGAGAAATTTGCTTCAGATAGCATGTAAAGGAGAACCTGCCTAATTTGTACTCTTTGAAACAACCTGCAAACCAAATCACAGCAATGCACTTCTCTGGCCAATTGATGTGTGCTCAGATGCATATACTAGACTGCAGTGTGCATGGGCATGTATATACTTGTGAAAATAGCATACGAAAAATATGTAAGGGGAAATCCCTTTGCAAAAATGTACCGTATATATTGGGCAAAATAATAAGGTATTGGGGAGAAATTCACACTGAATTTTCATGAGTAGTTTTGGTTTTCTTAAAGCAAACTGCAAAGAACTGAACTTAAGAGTGGGAAAATAAGAAAATGAGAGAAACCATAATAATAATAATAATAATAATAATAATAATAATAATAATAATATAGTTATACCCCGCCCATCTGGCTGGGTTTCCCCAGCCACTCT